GCATCTATCTCTCTTATCGTGCATCTCTTCGGCTTTCTTTCGTGCTAAATCTCATAAGGAGTTGTTTATTCCCTATTCATTTTTCTTTATATCTTTATCATCTTCAACATCATTTATTTTATAATTTTCTACTATCTTCGGTTTCTTTTTTGCATCCATCAATTTATTTTTATCCTTTCCTTCATCGCACTGAAGATATAAATATAAAACAGACAATAAAAATTCCTACTTTCTATAACATATAATATAAACAATAAACTAATTCTCTTTCTTTATAACTTCTAATTCTTCTTGAGTTTTTACTTCGTCGTCAATTTCCCAACCGCTACTGCGGTCTTCTTTCCTTTTTTTTATTTGAAAGTCCAAGTGGTTGAGAGCTTAATTTTGAATCAGTTAAATGATTACGAGCTGGCCTACCTTACCACGAAACTTTTTATTTAATATCACAGATTCTTCATTATCTTCCTCTGCTTCTCCACCAAATGATAAAAAATTGAAGTCTCTGTAACAAAATTTTTCATTACGAAGAATAATACTATCAGGACTAAATTCTGCAAACATATATAATTTTTACTTTACTCTTGCTGTTTTAGTTTTCGAACTGTCCTTCACTTCTTCACTTTCCTGTACTATTATTCTTGGTATAATATCAGAAAATGGATAGTTCAATATTATAGTTTTTATCATTTTTGGTGCATAAAGTGGTCTATCATTCTACAAAAAACAGGAAATATAATATTTATATCCATTCTTGATATATTTTCTTGTAAACATTAAATTTACCTCATCTACAGGTGCTTTTTTAAGTTTAAGCATGTTATATATAGTTTCTTCAGTAACCTTACCAAAGATTGTATGTTTATTCTGCAATTCTGATGTAGAACCAAGAGTAAAGAGGAATTGGGAAGTATTGTCATCTTTTGCAGCATTAGACATAGCAATTAAATCTCGTTGACAAAAACGTAATCCTGTATAAAATTCGTTCTAAAACACATATATCCAACAATTATTTTTGAATAAAAAAGGAATTCATTTTATTTTTAAATATAGTGTCACTTTAAATGGTTCTCTATATATTTTACTACCTTCTCCTGTACCTGTGGGATCACCACCTTGTATATGAAATATAGTGTCATCTCAATAACTTTAATAAATTTTTAAAAACAGATGTACAATCCATTTAAATATTATTAAATGATACTTATTACTTTACCCATAGCGGCTGACTCTTGCATATAAATATTACTTGTGCTTGTAAGTCTCCTATAATAAAAAAAAATCCTGCGTCAATAATATTTCATATTAAATCTTTATTCATTTATAAATCAGTCAATCAAATGGTTCTTTTCTCGAATAATCATCAGCAGGTAAGACGTACCTTTTACCTCCTTTCAACGTTAGCCTTATTGGCCCAATCATGTCCATGATGTGCCACAGCACCATTATACTTCTGGCTTCTATATTTTCCAAATTCCCGTAGATATTTCTACACATTCTTGCCTTAAAGCAACATTTACACTCTATATTCAATTTATCTTTAATTTTTATAACTATTACCAAGTGTTCATTCTGTCCCTTTCCTGTTTCTGCATTGAACATAATATGCATTTCCTCTTCTCACTGCTTTCATTCGAATGTCCCTCTTTTCTTTACGTATCTCAGCTTCATCATTCTGAAACTTAACACATTAGTGATAACCATTAACTTTGACCATGGATATCAATATTTATTCAGATTAAGAACACATCATACCTTTCAATCTCAATGTCTTCTATGTATCTTATTGTTAAAAGAGGACATTGTCTAAATTAATTGTATTCTCCTTTGTTCTATCCTCATCTGTTGCGTGATGTGCTCTACGGCGACCTCCTTACATATTCTGTGTTTGTATTACTAAATCCGAGTTTCGAATCCAAACTAATAGCTGTTTGAATATCGCTTGATTTTGTATTATTGTCTGAAGGAATTAGTGCTGTTATTTTACTACGAAAAGTCTCTGATATTAAACAATGAATTTCCACTTCGAAAGTGATTAAGTTAAGCAAAAAATGTGTACAGAAGAAAACTATTATAATAAAGTATTTAATAACTATTAAATGAATTGTAATTCTCTAGTAGTTCCCTTTACTATTAACCGTTAATGTTTCCACGTCATTCTCTGCACTGATTATCAATTTGCTTATCATTTTCTTCGTTAATGATTGTTTTAATACTTACGAGTCTCTTCTTTAACAGTTATCAATTTATTTTACGTTCACTTACATTCGTTCATTTTTCATTCACCTATTATTCTCTACGTTATTGATTTCTAATAGTCTTATTATTTTTTATAGTAGCAAGTGTTAATGTACATATCATTCTCTTAATTATCTTTTTTTTATAAATTTCTCACTTTAGAAACATTGTTGCAATCAAGATATTCGAAATATAAATGATACTTGCAAAAAGAGGGAAAATATATAATAGAAATCATTCAATAAACACTCTACAAAGAATTCACTTATATTACGAATTTATTTCTAATCACTTGCACATAGTTTTACATGGTAGTCAATCGTGATGTGTGATATATAGCAGTGCTCGATCATTGACAGTTCTACTCCTGCGAAATAGAGTTCTTAAGAAACGTGTCAATTATTTATTTGTCAAACTTTCACAAGGAAGTACTTTACGTACAGACGATAACAATTGTCCGAATAGAATCAACACTCGCGAGTGACTATAGAATCCGATTAAACGAGTATGAACGAGGAAAGAAATGAACTTGCTCTGTCACGTCACCGTCCGGTCAACAAACCAATTAACGCCTGCTTCTCCTTTTCTTTTTTCCGCACCGTCTCTAAATTCCGTTGTTTCCACGAACTCTTCCGTAGCTTTATGGGACGTGAGCCTACGTATCGTCCTGAAAGAAAACAATTTCATTAGATTAAAGTTATCCTTACACGACAAAAAGTATTCATTATACTTTTAGTTTTTAGCATTAAAAAGAATACATCTAATTGTTTTAGAATAAAATATTATATTCAATTATAATTAAATACAATTTAAATTTAATATATATT